CCCGGGCTCCTAGCAGAGACAACCTGTTCAGCTCCAGGTGCCTGCCAGCAGCAGCCTTAAAACTGTGGTTGGGGCAGGAACCTGGTTGTAGGAAAGGAGATTGGGCTGGGGGGTCAGGGGGCCAGGAGCCATAATCTCAAAGACCCATTTTCCGTCAGAGCTCTACCCTGCAGCCTCACTCTGTCTCTGCCCTCCCTTCTCTCCCTCCCTCCCTAGTCACTTCCCTCTTGGGAATGTCAAAGTGCAAGATGCAGAAACTTGGGCGAACAACGCAGCCTAAAGACCTGCTCTGGCTGGCTGTCTGGGCAGTTCTCCCATCTCACTCCTCCCTGGGTGTCAAAGGCTGGGTCAGGAGAAGGTTAGGGCTTAGGGGCTCCCTCTGTCAACAGGCGAGGCCAGCTCGGGTGCTCAGTGCAGGAAGCTGGGAAAGGCTAGATGGGAGGGAGGAGGATGGACAGCTGTTCACCCTGGGACAGTCAGGGCAGGCTGTACAGCAGGCAGATTCAGTGTTCACAGTGCAATGGCTTCCTTCATGGGGCGCAGCCTCTGCGTGGCCTCCTGGACACTCTGGCACAGGCCAGAGCTCAGTCCTCCCCTTGATGTCCTCCCCTTGACATCAGGAGCAGGCCAGGCGGGTCCTGAAGACAGGGCTGGCTGCCGTACTCCACCCAGCAACCAGAGAGGGCACTTAGGTGAGCAGAGGGTGTAGAATCCTCCAGGCTGTCGGTGCAGACCAGCAGGCCCAGAGGCATCCTCTTCCCGTCATTTGGGCTGCACGCAATTTTGGGAAATCCAGCTGACGCTGTCCCACCCTGCCAATCTTACGTTCTTCTCATCAGAGACAAGTCCCTGCTTGCTGATGTTGGGATGTCTTGGCACCAGGCAGGTCCTTGGGCACAAGGGCTCTTCCATTCCTCAGCTCCTGCCCTGCGCTCCCACATCCCACAGGCCTCTGAGTCCCTGGCCCAGGTTTGGCTTAGAGGGGAGTTTGGGGAGGGTGCAGCCCCTGGGGCCGAGGGTCCTGAGCCAGGCTTGCCAGCCTTCTTCAAGCAAATAGGAGCCTCCAGGGCCCACAATAAATATCAATAGCTTGGGGATCACCCCCCGGCCCTCTCTCAGTCAGTTGAGGGTCAGAGGGTTGAGGGTGGAGGGACCCCAGCCTGGCTGCTCTGGTCCAGTCCTGGCAGGCAGGGGTGCTGGAATTGGGCAGGTCACCATCCCAAGAGAAAGGCTGGGGAGGGGTGGTGATGGACACTCCCATAAGTTCTCCTTCCATGGAGAGACTGTCCTGTGCACCCAGCTGCAGGGAGAGAAAGAAAGGCTGGTCAGCTGAGTGGGAGTGGAGGAGGGTTGCTGAGGACATGGGTGGGAGAGGTGCAGCGTTCCTGTGGGCTGTTGGTGCTACAGGCACAGTTTCCTCTCATTCCTTCCCTCGCCTTCTCAGCCACCCCAGACACCACAGACAGGCCAGACTGCCTTCCTTGGCAACAGTCCAAGCCTCTGGTCAGACTGGCCTTACCTCCTACCTCTTTCTGGGGAACCAGGGACCACAGGAGGAGGCAATGGGGTCTGGTAGAAGTTTGAGCAGAGCCAAGGTGAGGGGTCATGCTCAGGCAGAGGGTGCCTGACAGGGATGGAAGGGGGACAGTTCAGTGACCTTAGACTCCTCCTCAAGTCAGGCCATCTAACTGGGCTTGGTGCAGTGAATCTAAGGGTGACTCTGCTAACTTCAGCAAATAAAGAGGATTTTTCATTTAAATCTCCACATCATCCCAGAGAGAGTTATCACAAATGACAGAAGTAACTGAAGAGGAAGAACTTGGGCCAAAGTGGAAAAGTCTAGAGGCAAATACTGGGACAAGGAAACTCCCACCATGCCATTAGGCATGCTAACCCCTGAGAAATCCAGCCTTTTCCTGGATGGGCCAAGGGACTTGCCTCCCCCATCATCCATAGGAATCGGTGCCCTGCTTTCTCCCACCCCACCCCCATCTTTGTCCCCTCGCCCAGCATCCTCAGAACACTTTGTTCCCAGAGCAGAAATCCCCTGGACTCCATCCAACAGTTTGACTTTGACCCTGTGTGGAGCCTCCCACCCTGACCATGCATAGGCCCTACTGGCAAAGCCCAGGATGAGTATGGAGGGAAGACAGGACCACAGCCTCTGGCTCCCAGCCCATTCCCATGCTATGGAGGGGAACCATAGACTGGCCATGGGCCAAGGTGGGTACATCCAGGCCACAGGCCCTGCTGGGGCCCAGGAGGGAAGAAAGACCAATTAGGCAAGCTCTGTCCTGCTGCCCCTAACTCCTGGTTCCCTGGGGTTGCCATGCTTGGGTCTGAGTTTTCTTTTCTGTATCTCTGTGTCCCTCTCTCAATCTCTCTGCCTCTGGGTTTCTTTTGCTCATCTTTCCCATGAGAGTAGCAGTCAGTCTGGGGGCTGGTACTGAATCTCCCTGGGGCTCCTGGCACCCAGCCAGGGGATGGCCTAAGGACTGGACCGATTGATCTCAGTGAAGCCTTGATGTGGCCCCTGACTGGGCTCCCTCTGTAATTGAAATCTTAAGAGGAAGAAGAGGAAAGCTTGTGACAGGTCTGAAAATAGGCAGGCTGGGGAAATTGAGTAGGAGTGTAGAGGATTGGGGCAGAGGGCCAAGACCAAGGTGGGGAGGCCAGCAACCAGTGAGGACAGCGGCATCCCCAGGGACCTCTGTCCACTCTCTGCTCACCAGTCCTGAGGAGCCTGGGCCACCCTCACAGTCCTATCAGGGGCCCAGCTGACCTACTCATACATCTTAGCCCACCATTTCAACAAGGTAGTCTCCAGGATTCCAAATGTATAACTTCTTGCTCCTTTCTAAATAGACCCCCTTGGTTTGGAGCATTTGCCAGATACCCTATCTTTCCAAGAATGGCCCGGATCTGTACATATGGGAAGGTCCTAAAGCACTTACTTGCCTTTGGCATGGGGTGTGATTGGCAACTTGAATGGGTCACTCCAGTGACCCAGCCATCTAGCCAGTCAACAAATCAGCCAGTCAGCCAATCAACTTATAAATAGAAGAATATTGTCCAGGTTAAGGAAAGTAACAGTCCCACTGTACTCTGAGCTGGTCAGCAACAGTCAATAAGCTAATCAGGCCAGTCAGCCAGTTGGTTAGTTAGTTACCCAGCTAGCTGGTCAATCAGAGTCAATTAGTTAGCTGATTAATTGGTCAGTCAGAAAGTTGATCAGCTAGAGATAGCTGGCCACAGCCAGTCAGTCAGTCAGACCAGTCAACATTTATTGAGCTATTGGCAAGTGTGGAGAGCCCCTCTCTGTACTAGAACTTGAGACAGAAGAAATGCAAAAAAAGGGAAGACACATTCCCTGCCCTCAAGGAGCTTACAACCTTCTTAGGGATGCAGGATGTACATAGACACATAAAATAAAAATTAAAAACTTATGAAAACAACATTCAAATAAGTGCAAATTGATATACTATTAACCAATTACAAAAGATCAGGAGGAGTAGCAATTAAAGGAATAACCAGAAGGCAGTGGGAGCAATCAAGGAGCTTCTGATGGGGCTGGTTGGAGGTTTAGGGAAGGAAGGGAGAAGGGCTGTGGGCTGGTGGGTCGGGGTAACAGTGGGGAAGAAAGAATAAGGGCCATAACAACGTGTTGTTTATCACCAGTGTGGGTAAGGGCAATAGAAGGCACTCCTAAACGTGTGGGAGATGCAGTTGGGATTAGGCTTTGAAATAATTTCAATAGGCCTAGATGATGGGCAGAAACCAATAAGGTGATTTTAACAAGGATGAATATAAACTCCTGCACTTTGGTTAAAAAAAAAAAAAAATGTCCAAGTATAGGATAGAGAAGGTCTGGCTTGACAGAGGTTTGTGGGAAATGGCACTAGAGGTCTAATAGACTATAAGTTCAACATTTGATAATAGTATGATGCAGTTGTGAAAGAACTAATGCAATCTTAATCTGTATGAATAGAAGAATATTGTCCAGATCAAGGAAGGTAAGAGTCCCACTGTACTCTGAGCTGGTCAGACAACATCTGGAGTACTGTGTCCAGGGCTGGGTGCCACATTTTCAGAGGGACATTGACAAACGAGTGTGTCCAAAGGAGGGCGACCAGGATGGTGAGGGGTCTGAAAACCATATCATATAAGGAATGTTTGAGGGACTTGGCCACATTTAGCTTACAGAATTCTTAAAGGGGATATGACTAATTGACTTTAAATATTTGAGGGCTGTCAGAAGGAATTGGAGCGAGGACCAGTGTGGAGGGGGCAGGGAAACCAGTTTTGCTTCTTTAAGGAAAGACTTCTCATAGTGCTCATTGGAGATGGCATGGGCTGTAGCTAGGCAGGGAGCTTGCCTGGAACTGGGAAAGTGTGACAGGAAGCTGGCTGAGAGGGGTGGGATGCTGGGCCAAATGACCTCTGAGATCCCATCTAAGACTGAGATTCTATGGCTCCATGACTCTAAAGGCAGGAAGGTAGAAATGACCTTGGCTGAGAAGGGCCAAATAGGGGAGCAAACAGAGGTGGAAGCTGGTATGAGATGCATATGGAGGGTAGTTGCTGGAGGGGCTTGGAAGCCAAGCTGCGAACGTTGGATTTGAAGTGGTTGGCAATGGAGAACTACTGAAAATTCCCCTCACAAAAGCCACATATGAGGAAGAGAATTTGGATTGCTCTGGGATTGAAAGTGGTAGCGAAATGAGAGACTTGATGCAAAAATTCAGGCAAGAAGTCATTTTTGGCCTTAGATACAGTAGAGATACTGGAGAAGCAGGAGAGACTTAAGGGCCTGGCCAGGAGAGGATGGGCCAGAGCTGGTGATGGATGAAAATGGGAGCAGGAAAGAGGGGAGGGAGTTGAATATGTGGGCCTTGGGAGGAGCTGGTGGTGTCACCATTGGGTTAGGATGCCTGGAAAGGGTATAGCTCATTTTAAGGGGTGGAGAAAGTCAAAATCAGAATCTTACCTTAGAATTCCCTCTACACTGGCAGTTCCACCTGTCTGTCCTCATCCTGGGTCAGGGGGCTGCAGGCAGAGCACAGGGCTGACATGAGTTCAGTAGGAACAGGGAAGAAAGGGACTCCCAAGCTTACTTCCCATGTCCCTTGTGCATGTGCTCCAGCCCTCTCAGATGTGGAAGACCCATCATTGCCTAATCCTGGGAAGAAACCAGAAAAAAGCCCAGACACAGGAAAGAGGGGAGGCCCCTCCTCCTCCCCCATTCTCTTCAACACCTCCAATTCTTCAATGCAAGGGCAGAAGGTCCTCCTCCCTCCCCAAATCTAGAGGGAAAATCAGTCCCTAGCCATGTCTGATCCCAAGTTAGGCTCCAAGTACTTCCCAGGACTCCACTCCACTCCAAGGTCCACCTCACCTGCCCTCTGGCTGTTCCAAGGAAGATTCCACTGTCTGAGATTCTCGATGGCTCTAAGGACAAGAAAGCAGATTTGCTGAGGAGCTGGGGGAGGCTGAGGGGATAGTAGCTCCATCCCCAGGCAGGGAAGCCCCAGGAGTTGATGAAATTGTTGCAAGAGTCTGTCCTGCTGCCCCTAGCTACCCAGAACTGGAGATCAGCCAGAGGGCCAGGAGAGAGCTGTGAGGCCTCCCTGCTGACAAGCTCCTAATACACTCCCCCTCCACCCATGCACGCTGTGTCCTGTGGGTCCTCGTACTCCAGGACTCCACAGAGCCCCAAGGGAATGCACCTGCCTAACATACTCACACACACAGCATCACGCTCTTTCTTTGCCTTCCCTATCATCTGGGTTCTCATCCCGCTGTTGTCCCAAGAATATTCTCTCTCCCTTTGTTCTGTTCTGGCCCCTTCCCTTCCTGCTGATGTTATAGCCATTCTTAAAGAAGCTGTCCCTCCCAACTGCCCCAGGTTCTGTGTTCAGCCAGCCTCTCCTCTCTCAGTGTCTGAAGAACCCAGGTTGCGCCTCCACCCTGCCCCCAAGGGCTGCCCTCCTCTCTCTCCTCAGGCTCTTCTTACCCGCCGCCTCCGCCTGTAGAACAGGAGGCCGCCAACAGCCAGCAAGACCAGGATGATGCTGGGCACCAGCAGGCGGAAGACAAACCCAGGGAGCTGGGGGTCGGAGGGTCTCACATGTTGCCTCTCATGGCCTGTGTCAGTCAAAGGAACGGGGTTAAAACGGGCCTGGGGCCTGGCCTTCCCCTCACTCGCTTGTCCTTCCAGCTCTGTGGGGCTCCTCCGATCCCTGGTGCTCCTCTTGCCCTCCAGCTCCCCAAGGGGCAGCACACTGCTCCTTGAGTGGCTTCTGGGAAGCCTTGGCTGAGCAGAGGGGGTAGAGGGTCTGCTGAGGCCTTGTGGGTGCAGCGATGGAATCCTGGGCAATCCTGGCTCCTGATGATCTCTGGGCACGGCCAATGGACTGCCCATCTTCTCAGGTGTGCGATTCCAGGCTTGGCCCATGGGCTGGACAGGGCCTGCACTATTCAAGTGGGTGCCAGTTACATCTGCCAGCTCCCGGGCCTCTGCTGATGCCGCAAGTGGAGAAGATGTTGAGGGGAGGTCGCTGGGTGCGGCTTTCTCTTCCTGGACACTGCCCTCTCCTGGCCTGGAGGGTGAAAGGTCAGCTCCTTGGGGTATAGGACCCTCACTAGCCTCTCCAGAGGCTTCTTCTAGGGCCCAGTTAGTGCCCAACACAGAGTCAAGAACATCCTCCATCCCAGAGATGGGGGCCCCATCAGATGGGTGGGGCTGAGGTAAACCAGTGGTGGGGTTGCCCTTGACACCTGGAGGCTCCGGAGGCTCAAAACTCTGGCAGGTGCTCCTGGGTGGTCGCTGCTTGGCACTGCCTGGGTCCACCGCATGAAGGGGTTGCTCACTGGGCAAGAGGGAGCTGCCCTCTGCCCCCTCAGAGTCAGCCCAGCTCAATCCAGCCATAGGGGCTGCAGAGGGGGCACGGGGCTGGTGAGGGGAGACAGAGGCTGGGTCACTGCTAGGGATGGCTTTAGGGTATAGGCAGTTGCAATCAGGCTTGGTCACCACATCTGAAAGAACCAGAGAGAGGGAGAGAGAAAGACGGGGAGGAGATAGAGTCACCAGCCTCCAGCACAGCTTTCCCAGAGGGGCCAAGAGGGAGACATGGGCCTGGGGTTCTCCTCATCCCCTAATTCAGCCCTGGGGCTGAGGAGAGGACAGGATGGAGTGGATGCTCATGAGACAGGCCTCAGGTAGAAGAGGTAAAGACTGCAGGGTCTCATGGGTCAAGAGCAAGGAGGGGGCTTGGATGCACAGGCTGGGGGTCGGGGTCAGGGAAGACAACAGAGAACAGCCCATATTAGAGATTCAGCCAGGCAGACGCCAAGCCAGGGTGAGTAGCAGCCAGCTCTCGAGGTTGAGAGGTGGCATCCAGGACTAACACAAGGCACCCTCAAGCCCAAAGACACCACATTGGTTGGAAAGCAGAGAGATGGTTTCATGCACAGCCAGGGACCACACAGTCATGGTCACAGGCGGGAACCGACTGAAGTTGGAATGTGGCCATGGCTTGAGGCCTTGGTATTGAAGCAACAAGATTGGACTTGGCCACTGGCAGGTGGCAGGGCCTCAGGCCCTGCCTCAGGGAGCTGTAGAAGGACACATGTGGCACAGGATGTAGAGACGAGGACACGCAGGGCACACACGTATGCAGTTGAGCCAGCACTGAGAGAGTTTCAATGATTCTCAACTTCAAATCCAGCCTTGTCCTTTGAGGGGACATTCAAGGCATCCTGGGGACTTCTGGAGCCAGGGTATCCTGGTGATTCACAGCAGGGCTCCTGGAGGGAGGGCCCTGACTCCCAGATGGGGCCTCAGCTCTCTCCACTGAACCCTCCATGTGTTCAGCCAGCCTGCAGTGCCCATGGGGAAAGCCTCCATGCCTGCAGGGCTCTTAGAGAGGGGGCCCTTTCCACTCCCTGATCTCGCAGCCACCAGCATGATCCTTCTTGATGCCTTGGCATGCAGACATACGTAGGTGTGCATGCACACACATGCCAGAAGAGACATGTGCCCAGGAATGACCAGAGGTATGTGAAGCCACACATGTACATGAAACAAACACATCTACACACACAGGAGCATGAGTAGCAGCCTCCCTGGGGGTCTCTCCAGCTGCACATCTCACCTCCCTCCACCATCCACTTCCTGGTCCCTTGGACTTACTTTGGCTGGAGCATTTAGCAAAGCTGTCACTGCAGTTCTTGCTGAAAACTTTCCAGTCTTCTTTAAGGAGATTCTTTGTTTCATTAAAGACATTCTTGATCTTCTCCAGCAACTGGAGGGGTGTCTCATAGAAAGTTCGGACACAGGCCTGCAAGGAGAGCAGGGAGCCCTTTTGGTGAGCACGTCCCCATCCCTTTTGTCAAGCTCTCTTGGGCTTTCTCACACTTATCTTCTTTTTCCCTTTCACTTCATCCTTCCTCTCCTCATTGGTTTGCAGCAGAATCAATCCTGAGGTTGTGGGATATGCCATTTATTTATATATCCACTAAACACAAATTATATGCCAGGTGTATGGTAAATATCTGGGAACCATATAATGAGGGACAGTGGGGTGTTCCCTGGAAGAACTGGACATTTAGTCCAACAGGGGCATTTGCACTAAACACACTGTTACAAGTGTGGTGAATCCGATGAAGAAGTACTAAGTGCTCTAAGGGTATATAACAAGGGGGATTAAATGAGCCCGAGGGTTCCAGGAGAATTTCCCCAAGGCACTGACTCAAAGATGAACAGGAGGTAATCAGTAAGGGGGTATGTGGTGGGTGTGGAAAGAGCTCCAGGAAGAGGAAACAGACTGTGCAAAGGTCCTGAGGCAAGATAGAGCCTGAAATGTTGAAAAATTACAAGGAGGCTAGTGTGGCTGCAGGGGCAACATCTAGGAAGAAAGTGGTGAGAGATGCAGCTAGAGAGAGGTTAGCAAGGGCCAGGTTCTGTTGGGTCCTGTTGCCTGTTGGCCATTCCACAGAGAAAAAGGGAAAAAATAAAAACACTATATATATATATATGAAGCACACTGCTGGGAGGGGGGCAGCGGCATGGTAAGACTTGAGTTTTAGAAAGATGGTCCTGCTATGGTGTGGAGAGTGGGATGGAGCAGGCCACAGGTGATGTGGGCCCTTCTTTGGCATTGGTGTGCCTTGCAGGTAGGCCTGAAGGTGCCCGGCCCTGAGTGGCCTCTCTTACTCTCTGCTGAGGCTGCACCCATCTGCTCATGGGACCCAGGCCCCCCACATCCACCAGAGCTCTGAGTAGCTTCACACACCTCTTGGGTTTTCCTCTCATGTCTTGGGATGCTCTGTTTTAGTCCCCCTAACAAATTCCCCCTTCTCAACCTGACTGCTAGATGCGGGCATTTCTCAGGGCTCAGTGTTGGGCCTGCCTTTGCTTTCTCGCTAGGCAATGCCAGACACACCCACCACTTCACCTATGGCCTATTTGCCCATGACTCTCAAATGCCAAATTTTTCCTTAAATTGAGCCACACAGGGAAGACCTATTGGTTTTACTAAGGTGTGAAGTCCTCGAGCACATCACGATGTCCCCCCATGGCCTGTGCACAAAGCTGAAAAAGCCAAATCAGTAGCCAATTCCAACTCGTAATGACCCTATGCATGCCAAAGTAGAATGATGCTCCATAGAGTTTTCAATGTCTGATTTTTGAAAGTAGACTGTCAGGCCCTTTTTCTGAGCACTGTAGGCCCATAATAAATGTTCATTAGATGAGTGAATAAGGAGCTCTGGTGGCATAGGGATTAAGGCATTTGGCTGCTAACCAGAAGACTGGCAGTTCAAACCCACCAGATGCTCTGCAGGAGGAAGATGAGGCAGTCTGCTTCTATAAAGATTTAGAGCCTTGGAAACCCAATGGGGGTCTCTACGAGTTGAAATCAACTCAAGGGCAGTGAGTTTGGTATTTGTTCAGTTTAGATGAGTGAATGAATGAACGGGAAGTCCTAGGCTCAGCTCCAGCACTCACCAGCTATGTGACACTGGCCAAATGAATTATCTAGTTTGGGCTTATTTCCTCACCTGTAAAGTCAAAATAATATTCCCTACCAGCCACTCCCGCAAGGTTCTTGTAAGAAAGAGGTAAACTGGCTTGCTCCCCTCTCTTCGCAAACCTCTGTCTCCCCCACCTCCCTTCATACTTCATAGAGAAAACAGGAACCATCAGACAGAAGTTCCCTCTGCCCCTCTGTTGCAGCAGAGATGTGCTCTCTCTCCTCAGGAGCTCAGTTCTTCTCAACAACAAAGGTCCCTCCCTTCTGAGTCTGCCCCATCAGCATCCAGTGTGTACCCAAATGGGGTGTGAGGACCACTAACATCATATCATATGTTTGCTAAAATGCATATTCCTGGGCCCCTCCTCAGACCCAGTGAGTCAAGCTGTCTGGGGGAGTGGCCTGGGAATATGGATTTCAGACAAGCTCTCCAAGTGATTCTTATGAACCTTATAGTTGGAAAACCACAAATTTAATACCTTTCCTTAAAACACTTCCCTCCTTCAACCCCAGCTTCCAGCTGAATCTCTTGTTTCTGCTCCTTTTTAGAGCCAAGTTCCTCCACAGTAGTGTCTCCACTTCTTCTCTTTCTATCATCCTGATTTGGCATTGGCCTCCAATAGCCACCGCCACGTTGCCAAATCTAACAGACACTTTTCAGCCCTTATCTTGTTTGACTTCTCAACACCATTTGATAAAGCTGTCTACTTCCTCCATCTTGAAACACTCTCTTTCTTGGGTCCAGTGACACCACACTCCCCTGGTTTTCCTCCCACCTCTTGGGCTGCCCCTTTTCTGCCTGACCTCTAAATGCTTTGGTACCTCCAAGTTCAGCTTGGGCCTGGTTCTCATCTCCCAGCGGGCAATGCTATACAGTTCCAAGGCTTTGTAGATGACCCATACACTGGTAACTATTCCATCTCTATGTATGTATGTATGTATGTATCTATCTGTTTTCTATCTATTTATTTATCTATCTCTGTATCTCAAGACACTTATATCTAGCTGCCTGCTCACAATCTCCATTTGGCCATTCCACAAACATCTCAAGATTAATGTGCCCAAACTGAACTCTCGCCCTTCCTCCAAAAACCTGTTCCACCCTCTGATCATCTCCATATCAGCATCATAGAAACATCCAGGTGCTCAAGTCAAAATCCCAAGACTCATCCTTGAGTCTTCCCTTCCCTCAGCTCCTCACATCCACTGCATTTACCAAGTCTTGGTTCTGCCTCCACAATCTGTTTGCACGTCTCTACTTGCCTCTGCCTTCACTGTACCACCTCATCCAAGCCATCAATATCTCTGGCCTGGATTCCCTGCCTCCATTTCCATTCCCTGCAGTCCATCCTACACACGGCAACCAGAATGTCTTACAATCTGGCTAAGTCAGATTAAGTCATTTACTTGTTTACAATGGGTTCCCTTACAACTTAAGACAAAATTACATCATCTTTAAGGTGGCACAGTGCCTAAGGCGTTTGACTGCTAACCAGAAGGTTGGTGGTTCAAACCTACCAGCTGCTCCACAGAAGGAAGATGGGGCAATCTACTTCCGTAAAGATTTACCACTTCGGAAACCCAGTTGGGGTTGCTTTGAGTCAGAATCGGCTTGATGGCAGTGAGTTTGGGTTTTGAAGGCCCCAGATGAGATGGCTCCTGCCTCCTCTGCACTCTCCCTTTCACATCCCATGTCTGGCCATGCTCATCACCCTTTGGGTCCCTGGATGTGCACGTTCCTGTCCCCCAGAGGACTTTGTGCATTGTGTCCCCTGAGCTGGAGCACTCTTAACAGCCGATAACAGCTTTCTAACTTTTACTCATCTTTGGATCTCAAATTAACATTTTCTTACTCAGAGGCCTGTCTCTAGGCATATGAGTTGAACAGTTACCTCAAGTAGATACACTCCTTGGAGAGAACAATCATGGGAGAAAGAAGGGCTGCTTATGCACAGGGAGACAGCTCAGGAGTCAGGAGTGCATGGAGGGATGAACACAGGGAAGAGGTAACTATGGGGAGGAAGTGGGAGGGGAGCTGTTGCATTGTGGGAAACTCAATGACATGAGACAAAATATATGTGAACTGCTGTATGGAAAGTGAATTTGCTCTATAAACCTTCACCCAAATCACAATTAAAAAAAAAAGAAAAAGAAAAATAATCAAAAGCCCACGTATTTATCCAAAAAAAAAAAAAAAAAAAAAAAGAAGGAGAAGCCTATCTCTTCTTCCCCACTCCTGCCTCCATTCAAATTAGAGACCTCTTATTCTCTCTCACAGAACCCCACACAGCTCTTATTCACAGGCCACTAGCTCACGTGTTTCAGATTTTCCCTTTTCTGGTTTACTCTTCTCTAGTGCAACTCTCACCATCCTACATGTCACATATTTTACTTATATATTTTGTTAGGGGTCTCACCTCCACAAATACCACCCCCAAATACAATCTCCATGAATGTAGAGATTTTTGTCTGTTTTAATCACAGCTGTTTCCCAGTGCCTAGAACAGTGTCTGGTATGCAGTATGTGCTCTATAGCTATTTGTTGATAATAAATGAATAGCCCTTATGCTTGTAGTTACATGTCATTGTTTGTTTAATGAATACTAACCTCACTTGACTATAAGCCCCATGAGGGCAGGAACCATGTTATTTCTTGCTCACGATGACATTGTCAAGGTTGAGCGCTGCACCTCCTAAATAGTAAGTCCTCAGTAGAAGTTTGTGGGGTGAAAGAATGAATGAGAAAGTGAGTGAAAGATGACATGAAGGTAAGTGAATGCACTCAGTGCTTGTGGGCACAATGCCAGTGAAGGCCAAAGCCAGGCAATCAGGGGACCTTGGGCACTGGATGATCCCACCATGACTTGTACTCCCCTCAGCCGCCCTCTGCCCTTACTCAGTGCTGTCAGTTCCAGAACCTTCCTACCTTGTCCTGTTCTTCATGATCCTTGGTGAAGCAGCTCTGTAACCTCAAAGAAAGTTCCTGGAGTTGCACGATTTTATTAGCATTGGGGGTGTTGTCTTTGAAACGCAAAGTGTCCTCCATTATGTCTTGCACCAGGAGAAATGCCTTCTTAAGGTAGCACACGGGATCATCCTGAAAAATGAGACTCTAGAGCTTATGCTCTGACTGGTGCAGCCTGGGGACCAACACTCTCGGTTAGATAACCCCCATTCCAGGAAGATGGAGGGCTGCAAGCTGACCTGTCCCACCCCTGGGGGGAGGGTGACACTCTGCAGTAATAAGGAAAATGCTGCATTCAACTGTTCTTTGCTTCTCTCTTTGGGATCTGGCCCTCCTTGGGGTTGGAGTAGAGAAAAGGAAATGTGGATCTGATCAAAGAGGGATTTGGATTTCTGGATTTGGGGGATATAATCAGGATGGAGGCACACAGGGACGATGGGTTGTGGGGAACCCCTCTTGCTCTCTTTTCTTTTCTTCCCTCCTCGCCTCCTACCAGTTGGGTCTGACTCAGCGGCATATAACAAGTGACAGATATGATTGGGAGCTCTGGTGGTGTAGTGCCTAAAGCATTTGACTGCTATCCAGAAGTCTGGTGGTTCAAACCCACCAGCCACTCCTTGGAAGGAAGGTTGGGCAATCTACTTCGGTAGTGATATCGCCTTAGAAACCGAAGGAGGGATTGCTATGAGTCAGGTCCCACTCAACGGCAGTGTGCTGTGCTGTGCTCTGCCCCTCCCTCCCTCTTGACCTAGCTTCACAAAAGTCCTATACCATCTGACTCCTAATCCTCCAGTACATAGGGGTACTGGAGACCACCTCATGTTTCAAAGAATAACCGCAGAATTTCATTCGTTCACTCATTCATCACTCATGCCTTTACTAGAAACCTGTTGGAACAGGTGATAGGGACACAGAGGTAAGGCAGACAAAGTCTCTGTCTTTGACGAGTCCACTATCTCTTCAAGGAGAGAACCCAAACTACTAACAACAGCAAACCAAAGAGCTCTAAGTTCTAACAGAGATGTATATGGGCAGGTGTGTGGAAGCTCAGAGATGAGAGTGACTTCTTGGTATTATAGCTAAGATTTTGTAAGAGACACCAAGAGAAAGAGAAGTGGAATAAGGCTGGGGGTGGGGGTGGGAGGGACTGGAAAGGCTTTATAGGTGTTAGGAAGAATTTGAAGAAAGACTCCAAGGCAGGAAGGAACAGGGAATGTGGGCTTTGTGATGGAGATTGGAGCTCATAATTGCCAGTCTAAGCAACCTGGGCTTTCCCTTGGAGTGATACCTTCCACACTTTTGGGAAGGGTAATGGAAGCAACCCGAAGGAGCTCTGCTGGTGTAGTGCCTAAGGCATTTGACTGCTAACCAGAAGGTTGGCAGTTCAAACCCACAAGGCACTCCGTAGGAGGAAGACTGGGCAATCTACTTCTGTAAAGAGTTGCTGCCTCAGAAACCCAAAGAGGGTCGCTATGAGTCCAAATGAACTTAGCAGTAAGTTTGGTTTTTTGGTTTGTGTGAAAGCAACATGCTGGGGTTTCAGAAAGCTCCCCCTAGTGGTAGTATGAGGAGTGCACTGGAAGCAGGAAGACCAGTTAGGAGGCTCAGGCAACTGTCCAAGCAACTGACCAGGAGGGGCAGAACCCAAGGCTTCCTGGAAGGTAGAACCAGCAGCACTCTGGTTCTGCGGGAGGAAGACAGAAAGAACTGGACTGACTCCCTGGCTGCCAGTGTATCGCTGGATGCAGGTGACACTCTTAAGCCAGGCATATGACCTGGAAGTATTGGTTTGCCGTGGGCTCTAGAGCCAGTCTTCCAGGGTTTAAATAGGCCTCTAGCAGTTACCAGCTATGCTCCTTAACCTCTCAGAGGATAGTAAACAATATTAGTGTACCGAATAGTGTTATTGCAGAATTACATTAGAAAAGTCCCTGTCACATAGTAAGCACTTGATATATGCCAAGACAGGATAAGAGAGGAGAAGGGCATTTGAGCCCTAGACCCTGCCCAGCCCTGGACCCTGGCATCCCACACATAAGCACCTCATGCCCCCACCCTTTCCAGCTCTAAGATTTCTGCCAGCTTCATGCACTCACATACAAGGGCTATTATATAGGTTATCACGCACGACTTGTTAAGAGCCATCACTCACCAACTGGTCCGGGTCTACAAACTCAAAGGCAATTTGGCACGAGGTCTGCATCTGACTGTCAATCTGCAAGAAAGAGCAGGCCAGTGGTGTCAGGGTGGCTGAGGCTTAACTGAGGGACTGGAGTTTTGGGGTGGGTTAGGGTCTGAACATCTTCTACCTCCCCCCAACCACACCTGGAAAGACAGAGCCAATGCTAAGGGGAGGGCTGTGGAAGAACAAGACATTTCTTCCTTCTACCTCCCACCCCATGAAATCTGACAGAGGGCCAGCTTGTTATAAGGAAGAACTATCTAACAGAGTATGTAGAACAAAATCTCCCCCATGAGGTAGTTAGCTCCCATTGATGCAGGAATTTAAACAGAGGATGGATGGGCTCTGGGGATTCAGAATCTATAGGGTCTGGGGCTAGATGTTCTCAAAGCCCCTGTGGGACCCCAGAGCAGCAGCTCTATGATGCTAAGCCTCAGAGAATGCTATGGCTCTTGGGTCTAGCTTTGATGACCACTGCAGCTACAAGAGTAAGGAGTGGTATATGGGCCACAGGGGCAGGAAAACCAGCCTGTAGGCCCCAAGCTAAGGACCCTGGCTGGCCTTAGCTAATGGTGCCTCACCCTGCTCAGCTGGCCAAAGGGATGGTAAATTCCCATCTGAGCAGGATAACAGCCATGACAGTAAACTGATTCCACCTGGGTGGACCATGCTTGGAATGATTCTGTGGACTCAAGTAGAATGGGACACCGACTCCTACATGGCCTAGATGAGCAAGCTCTCCCAGTCCCGGGCTCAGGCAAGAGCCAGGGAGGCAGGGGTGGAGGAGTTAGGTGGGAGCCTCCCCTTCAAAACTGGCAGGGGCCCTGGTTCCAGACTGGTGGCACATCTAGGAGTCCAGGAGCTGAAGGCAACATCTGGACACATTAGGCACTGTGCTAGCTCCCTGGAAGAGGCATCTCACGGAGGGAGAGCAGGCCTTGGAAGCCTTTTCAGAGTCCACGATTGATTTTCCCGGGTAATTATTAACACAGGCAGCCAGCTGAAAACCCACCCCATCTACTGCCTGCAGGGATGTTAGAGAGGTTGCTTGGGGGCTAGAGGCCCTGATGTGCAGAGTTGAATGATGGGAGCATCAATGGAACTGAATGGGATCCACAATTACATTTACATGGCCCTATGTCTCTGTTTGCAACCCCTGTCTTTGACCCTGTTTCCTGACCCCAGCCTCAGTTTCCCCAGTAGGGAAAAGGTGAGGTAGGCATGGTAGAACACTCACCAGGTTCTGTAGGATCGTCAGGTGGCCATTCCCAATAATATGGCTACAGTGCTCCGGCACCTCCTCGGTAACACTCCTGCTCAGCAGGAGACAGGCCAACAGCAGCTGGGGGCCCAGCCATGTCTGTGACAGAGAAGGCGTCATTTCTCCCCAGCTCTCACTGCCCCTAAGAGCTCCCAGGCGCCATTGAAGGCAGAAAAACAAAGACCTCATACCTGTAATTTTACAGACTCTGCCCCTTACCTCAGGACGCAATAGTCTCCAAATCCAGTTTTCCCAGGACTTCCTAACAGCCATAGCAAACCTTACTCTCCCTTGATAACAAACCAAATGTCACTTCCTCCAAGAAGCTTCCCTAGATTCACCAAGCCTGACTACACGTTGAGGTTCTAATGATAACATGGGTGGCATGCCTACCAGTCTAAATTCCTCATTACATGGGAAAATCCTTGAGGGCAGGACTTACATCTGCCCATTATTCTGTCCTTGCAATATCAAACATTGAGCCAGGCAGCTTCTGGGCAGCCTACTCCTCTCAAGTTCCCATTCATGCACCAGCTTCCAGACTGCAAGCTAGAGAATCCTCCTGGGCCCAGGCCTTCTTCCCACCTGGTTCCACACAGGCCTGGCTCTGCCACTGGCAAGGCCAGAGGCCCAAACTCAGTTTCACTGGGAACTCATTCTTTGGCAGAGACCTCTTGGAGTCCTGAGGGTGTGTTTCAAGGAGTTCAACCAATCGATAGCCCAGCCAAATGGTTACAGGTACCAATGCCATCTCTGAGCCAGCCTCAGATGGCACCTGCCGACTGGAGCTCCATCAGCTTCTGCATCAAGCCAGTTCAGCTCTTATCATGGTGGGGACATTTTTCTGAGATCTCTCCCCTCTTTCAGCACCCACCTGGCCCTGTCACTGCTCACCTCCAGAGCTATGCAACTAGCTCCTGACACCCTTTCATTTCTCTTCCTTCTCCCTTTCCTCCTCCTCACTGAGGTCCCCTCTGTCCTCTGCTGGCCTTAGGTTCCCCCTCTCCAGCCAGAGGCAGAGAGACCCTTGAGCTTTCTTTCCCCAGCTTCGGGTTGTCTCCTGGGAGCTCATGAGCCTCCTGGCAGCTGATGCCCCCAGATTCAGGGAAATGATGGCAGGGTGGGGTGAGGGTTGGCACCTTCCTGGCCTCTGGGATCTGGGCTCAGCCCCAGTAATCTAGATGATGAGACAAATATTGCAAATAAATAGCACATGGGAAAAACACAAGGAGGCTACAAAACACCCCTCAAGAACATGCTGATTTACATATAACTAAAAGCCCCAATGTGTGCCAGTTCTTATAAGGGAGGAAATGCAGCTCTGGCTGGTCTACCAGGGAGGTTGCAAGGAGAAAAGGCCTCAGTGAGGCCTTGAAGGATGGAGAGAAGTTGGAAGCAGAGAGAAAGAGGGAGAGGTCTGGAGGGAAGAGGCACAGGATGGCCCAATGCCATTCAGCATAGGATTTAACCACGCAGATCTTGGCCTGGCCTGAGGAAGGGGGGATGTAGAAGACAGGGAAGATAGTCATGAGGGGGTCTTGGTGTTCTGTTGAGCAGTTGAGGAGGTAGCCCTGGATGAGAATTGCTGCCCATAAACCTCAGGTTCAGGACCCCTTGGAGGAAAGTGGGCCATGCAGAAGGTTTCTCTCTGCCCCAGACTGGCTCTGAAACTCTGATGTAAATAGTATGGAGGAAAGGGCCCCAGGGAAGCGGATGATTAGGAAGACAGACTTGCCACCGGCACTTCAAGATGTGGTTGAGGACAGCAAGGTGAGGTCACTGCTTAACCCCGAGGACTGTCTGACTTCTGTAGATATTTTAAGCATCAGTTTGGGGAGCACACAGCTGCCAGATGGGAGGCCAAAAGGAGCTACCCTTGGACCTGGGACCCCCGTTCTGCCTCAGAGGAAGATCTGGATGAGCACCCAAGGGTTAATGCCTTGGGTTAGGCTGGCTCTTCTCCCTCTTCCCTTCTTCCTTCCACTGACCACCCTCTGTCTCTGTGGGGCAACCTTGCTGCAGGTATCCTTGCTGCAGATTCAAAGAGATGCTAGGATTTGAAAGACCAGTCATCCGTTCTCATTCGCCTCCCATTGTGGTCCATCATTTCCATTCACAGGTCTCTAGAGAGATTCTGGCAAGACCGGACCCTTGCACTGTCCCAGCCTGAAACCAACCCTCTTTTCTTTCCTCCTTTTGGCCTCAGCTTTGCTTTCCTCATGTTTCCTTGTCTCTTGCCCATCACCCTGCCCTTCTCTCTTTCCCTTCTCAGCCTCATCTCCTCTCTCTCAGTTGGGCTCTTCCTTTCCTGTGGTTCTGTTCTTCCCTCTCCCTTCATCTGCAACCCCCTTCCCCCATCTCCACACATTTTTCTGCTCCTCTTCTGGCCAGGTTTCTCCTCCTATCTTCTCCAAGACTCCTTGGAAGCAAACCCACTGGAAGACCATTTACTATTCATTAACAGTATCCCATGCACCTCCAGGAGCTGCAGCAGCTACTACCCATGGTTGAGGCCCAGCATCTCCCCTGTAGTCCTGAGCTGCCCCCGCCCCTGTCCAAAATTCTGCAGCACCAAACCTTTTTCCCATCTTCCGCAACCACCACCAAGCTCTAAATCTCCTCAACTGACCAGGAATAGATTTTGCAAGAACAAATTTCAGAACGAGAGCCTCCAAAGCCAGGGGTTATGTCAGCTCTGAGGCCTGGTCCCTGCAAGACAGGCTTGACCCAGCCACTTAAGTCCCCATCAGCTGCCTGTGGACTGGAACAAGTAGTGGCTTGCCTGCTTCCTTCCCTCTTGTCAGTGTGGTGCTTGGTCCTGGCACTGTATAAGTCTACCGGCCCCTTAACTTTCCCCACCCAGAAGTGCCCACTCTCCTGCCAGGTCTGGAAGTATGCATGTGGTCAGTGAAGAAGGTGCTCCGTGATCCATACTCCAAGCACAGCCACTTCTCCTGTCCCTTAGCGGTGGCTGGTCAAAAGGTTGAGAGGTAGAGGCAGGGGTGCTCTGGCTGACACTGAGCCTTTGCCAGTGCGCACGAACCCTTCTTTGCTCCCTGCGTGTGGCTCAGTGTTACTCTCCGTGCAATGGGGTGAGCAGCCTTCCCCTTGCATGGGAAAGTGCCCCGGCCCCAGGAGCAGCTGCAGGACAATCCCTCAGCCGCCTAGCGCCCGGGGCCTTGGGGGCAGCTCTGCGCGCAAAGGCGGGAAGGAAACCGTAGTCCTTCTCCGCGGCGGGAAAGCCTCAGCAGCCGAGGCGCCCGGAAGGTCGGTCGAGAGGGGCCGCGTAACTCTCCCGCCCTGGGTCGGGGCCCAACGCCACCGTCGCTGCTTACCGTAGAAGGGCAGCGCCCGGCGGCGCCTCGCGCGGTCATACGGGCAGCTGGGTCCCGGTCGGGCGCGTCGGCCGCCGTTGCTTGCTGGCCGCTGCTTTAGTCCGCGCCTCGGCCAAGGGTCTGCGCCGCGGGTCTGTGCCTGGGTGCAGAGAGACCAGCAGCGGCGCGGAGAGAATCAAGAACTTTCACTTTCCCCAGCCGAGCTTCACTGGCCAGCTCCTCGGCACAGCCTTTTAAGCGGGCTGGGCATGTGGTTTATGGGAAATCACCCTGGACATGCGCCAGACGCACACACACACACACACACACACACACCACACGCACTGACACTGACACAGACACACACACACACACACACACACACTCTAGAGGCCCACTAAGCCGCCTCCCTACTCCCTCCCTTCCCCCAGCCCTCTGTCTGGTCTTCTGCGCCTGTCTTTCCAGTCGCCCTCTGTTTTCTTCACGAAAAGAATGCGGGCTCCACCGCCTCCCCGCCCTTCTCCCGCGCGCCGGGCCTTGGAGAGAGCCTTTCGTTCCTCGCTCTCCAAACAGATCCTGGGCTGTCAGTCTCTTTCTAATATTTGTCCCAAGGGACTTTCCCTGTAGGCTTGAAAATTCCCAGATCTAAGCAGGAAATGAGCCGAAAGCAGAGACAGGCACTGGGAGAGAAGGGCTGGCAGACACTGGGGCCTTTTCCCGTGCGCACGCTGCAGTCCCTCGCAGGATCCTGAGTCAGCAGGTTTGCAAGCAGCCCCTTCTCTCCGGTGCAGTCCCTAAGCAGCCAGCTCAGCCTCTTGTCTCGCATCCCGGTGAAAGGGATGGACAGTGAGGCCGGCCACCTGGCGAAGAGGGGAGGGAATGTGCCCTGTGAAGGGAGCCGGAGACTCTGCGGTCTGTGCCAGAAGGCACTCTGGGCACTTGACCTGTGGGTGATGTAAATGCGGGTGGGGATCCATGCTCGCTCTTGGGAGCGAAGGCCGGGCACCTGGACCCTAATTTCCTCTGAAGTTTTTGCAGATGCATTTGCAACGATGGTTAATCACATTTTATGTCTCTACATGAGAATTAATCTAAATGAAGCCTAATAAAATGAGCCTATTACTCATCATGCCAACTTCAGGAGCTTTTCCGTTCTTCTATTCATTATGATCCAAAGTGTTTCAATCCCCTCTTAGAAGTTGTCCACCCTCATCCTCTGAGAAATCTATCTATCTATATCTATATGTATCTATATGTATTCATATATATATCATCTCTTGTCCCTTGTCCCACATACCCCTTCCCTCAGGGCTTTCAACAGCTTCATTCCAGTTCTAATGCCTACTGGGTATACCTGGGATGGAAATGTAAATTCTCAGCAGGTGGTAGAACCAGAATGAACCAGTTCATTCATGGAACAAGGCTTGCTTCAATCCCCAAAAGTTCACAGCCCCATGCCTTTGCTCATGCTGGTCTGGTCCCTCTGCTTACAATGTTCCTTTCCTTTCCCTGTTTGTCTCATGGCATCCTTCAAGGCTGAAATTGTACCTCATCTTCTACCAGTGAAGCCTTCCACAACTCCCAGTAAATCAGTGTTTCCTTCTGGTAGCACAGTGCCTAAGGCACTTGACTGCTAACCAGAAGGCTGAAGGAAAGTTGGGCAATCTACTTCTGTAGTGATGCCACCTCGGAAACCCAAGGAGGGGTCACTATGAGTCGAATCGACTTGATTTCGACACCAGTGGGTTTGGTTTTTATTTTCACTGGACTTGGTTCATTCCTCCATAATAGCCTTATCAGTTATTTGTCATTCATTCATTCTTCACATTATTTTAAAAAAGTATTTAAGGTGGTTCTGATTAAGGGAGCATTTTAAGGATTAAGATGATGGTTATATTCTGCCCCTACCCTGGACTGAGGCTTCCGCCAGGGTGGCACCTGTGTTCACTTACCACTGAATTAATGGTGCTTAGCATAAAACGGATACCCAATTACTAGTTGAATTGAATGAGGCCATTAGACAATGATTCATTCACTACTATGTGCCAGGCACTGTGCTGGACACTGGAGATATAATGGTGAACATACAGATGTGGTCCCTATTTTCATGGGCTCGTGGGGCAGGCAGAAACTAAGGAGTGTGGAGGCAGCAACTGGGTACCTAGAGCCTTCAGAAAGGAAGGCCAAAGACAGAAACCTAGCCAGAGGAAACAGGTTGAGGGCTTACTTCTCCAAGGAATGTTCCCTCAAGTGGCCCCAGTATAATGATTTAAGATAACATGTTGACACAGACATCACAGTACTTAAGACTGATAAGATGTTAGAGGAAGTAATGTGAGAAAGATAAACTTCCAGACTTCTTAAAAAAGAAAGTAAAAATTTTCTTGCTCCCTCCTTCACCAACCCAGGTTCACTGTTAGAACCTGTGCTCTGCCTGTGGAAGGAGGGAGTCATGTCAGCTCAGAGCTTGGGTCCTCATTCCCCCTAGAGTGAAATTCTGTATATACCCGGGTTTGAACCCTGACTCCGCCACTGACAAGCTCTTTGACCTTGACAGCTCTGCCCAGGCATTTTTGCTGCGTGACTTTGGACAAAACTCTCTCAGGCTCAGTGTTCTCATTTGCAAAATGGAGACATTCATTTATCTTTTTTACAAAGGTGTTATGAGGATTGAAGGAGATAATGCCGGTGAAGTGTTTAGTACAGTGCCTGAAGGTGGTCACAGTGTTATTATTATCTGTCCATTTGCGTGGGTCTTAAGCAATGCTGCCACATTGAGACAGCAAATTTGGGATTCCCAATGTCAGATTTTAGTTTTAGCTCTGCCACTCTTTTGCTGTGTGACTTTGGATAACCCCCTTAATCCTTCTGAGCTTCTCTTTCCTCATCTGTATAATAGCAATGATAAGGCCTTCTACAAGATATGGTTGTGATACACAGGAAATCTTCAGGGTGATGCCCAGAATAGAATTAAGTGCTGAGTTATGAAAAACTCATTGGAACCTTAGGCTATGGTATGCAGGGGGGCAGAGCTGGAGCCCTGGAGGGATGTTCAAGGCCTTTAATGATGGTGACTCCATAATGGGACTTCAATTCTTATAATTGTTGCCTTAAAAGGAGAGATTATGAATCTACTTGACTCCATCCTAGCTTTGCTACCAGACATGGGGAGGTTGAGGCTAGAAGAGCTTATAATGTGCCTGATGTGGCTCCTTGGAACAACATCTCCTGTGCTTGCTTCTGCCTCTACCTGCCTCTGCCTGTCTGGTTGGGAGACCTAAGTTGGTCTCCCAAGTTCTTGGCTGGATTTCAGTGCTAAGCCAACAGAATTGTGTTCGTCTCCATGTGGTTCCTTAGATGCTCATACCCATGGAAGACTATGTGTGTCTCTTCAAGGGCAAGGAATGTTGGAACCACAGAACTAGAAGCTTTTCTCCCTCACATTACCTCAGATGAGGAAATGGAGACCCAGATAGGCTAAGCTCCCTTTTCCAAAGTCACTCATGAATCGGCACAGTCTGGAGAATAGGTTTCAGGAGTGGGGACTGAAGTGAGGAGACTCTGGGCTTTGCATTCTCTCCCTGGTCAGATTAGCCATTGTCCCCCTGCTGACTACTGGTGGAGTCATGTCCGGAGCCAGGTCCTGGGGGAGGCAGAGAGGAATTTGGAACTATCTGCGATTTGAGGTTTCCATGATTTCCTAATGTAGCATCAGGACCCGGAGGGGGTCAGAAAGGAGTATAGGAGGGCCTGCCTGCCAGAGGAATGAACCATGGGTGAGAAGAGAGAAACTGAAAAGAGAGAGAATGGAGATGGATGACAGGAAGTGGGAGGAAAGCCTCATTTGGTGGCTGTTGAAATGTCATTTCCTTGAAATTATTTGACAGGCAATTTCCCCTTGAGGAGATTTGTTCTAGGGAATCGACTTCTACCACAAAGAGCCTTCTTGCTCACTCTTTCTTAATCTCTCTCTCTGTTATTGGTTGAATTATGTCACCAAAAAAAAGTATAAATTCTAACCCTTATACCTGTGGAGAGGAACTCTGGTGGCTCAAAGCCTAAGGCATCTGACTGCTAACCAGAAGGTTGGTGGTTCAAATCTACTAGCTACTCCACAGAAGGAAGATGAGGCAGTCTACTTCCGTAAACATTTACCACCTTGGAAATCCACCGGGGATCTCTATGAGTTGGAATCAACTCAATGGCGGTGGGTTTGGTTTTTGGTTTTTATTCTTGTGGAAGGAGCTCTGGTGGTGCAATGGTTCAGGCATTTAGCTGCCAACCAAAAGGTTGGTGGTTCAATTCCAGGAGCTGCTGCATGGGAGGAAGATGAGGCACGCTGCTTCGTAAAGATTCACAGCCTTGGAAACCCTATAGGGCAGTTCTACTCTGTCCCATAGGGTCATTATGAGTCAGAATCGACTCCATGGCAGAGGGTTTGGTTTTTTGTTTTTGTTTCTACCTAAGAGGTGATCCTATTTGGGAATAACCTTTTGTTTTGTTTTGTTTTGTTATACTAATGAGGTCATATCAGTGTGTTGTTGTTGTTGTTATGTGCCATCGAGTCGGCCCCGACTCATAGAGACCCCTTCTTGGGTTTCTGAGGCAGTATCACTATGGAAGTAGATTGCCCCATCTTCCTTCCGAGGAGTGGCTGGTGGGTTTGAACCGCCAGCCTTCTGGTTAGCAGTCAAGTGCCTTAGCCATTATGCTACCAGAGCTCGGGTGTGTTTAAACCTAACCACTTTTAAAAAAATCTTTTTATTGTGATTTGAGTGAAAGTTTACTGAGCAAATCAGTTTTCCATTCAACAGTTCACACACATTTTATTTCATGTATTGATTGCAATCCCCTCAATGTAACACCCTCCTCCCACATTCTCACTGTGTTTCTGGTTTCCATTCTCCCTTCTCCCTTCTTCCTTAACCCTTCCTGCCTTCTGAACTTTGTCCTTGAGCAAATGCTACCCTTTTGATCTTGAGCGGTTGATTGTTCTAAAGAGTGCATACATCCCTACTGTTATTGTTCACATTGTAGGCATGTCTATTGTTTGGCTGAAA